TTTGATTCATTTTATTTTTAGAGGTTAAATTTTACTTCTCATTTATTATTGGGCATTTTGTTCCATTTTTTTTTTGTCTTTTTGGTTGATGAAGAAGTTTCTTTCGATTCTCTGTCAAATTATTGATGAGAAATGAAGGATCCGAGACTGATTTTTTTCTCTTCTTTCTCATTTTTCGACTTTATTTCGACCTTATTTCATTTCATCTGTTTAGGTCGATGACGACATTTCCGTAATTCATTACGAGTCACATTATTGATGAATAATGTTGGATCCGAGACCACTTCTTTCTCTCCTCATTTCTCTTCATCTTTCGATTTTATTTTGACTTTTGGTGATCGATGAAGTCTTGTATCCGCAAGACGAGATCCCACTGTTTTGGTCCATGCGACACGATTCAATTGGAGAACGATCCTCAATATCGTTTCTCTATCCTGTCCTTAGCACGAAAATCAATACGCGACCTCTTAAAGTTTGACTTCCCTTATAATTCGAAGCATCATCAAGGATCAAAAGAGGAGAAGATTGGAATGGAGTTTGCACACAATGTCAAGGGTCAACGGAACCACTCCGTTCGGTAACATCTTTCTAATTCAAGTCTTTTAATCAACCGCCGAGAGTTGTGAGTTATAAGCAATAGATACGTGGGTAATGATGAGTGGGGGGCCTCCTCTCATTCGTCTAGAGTGTTTAGTATATACCCTTTGGGAAATATACGATGCATTCGCTACTACACCTTAGGTTCTAGCGTGTGTGTCCTGAGTTCCTTCCCGTTTAGGCGTGTCTTGGCCTACTTCCTCTTTTCTCTCGCCCCCCTGCGATTGAAACTCTTTTCTCTCGCCCCAGTGCGATTGAGACTCCTTTCTCTCGCATCCTGGCGATTGAGGTCCCCTCTCTTGCCCCCGTGCAATCGAGACCCCCTTTTCTCTCACCTCCGTGCGATCGAAACCGTTTTTCGTAGTTATCCGAACTACGGCTGCTCTGATCTCTCATATCTGTTGAGAGTACGTAGGCATAGGATTGCGATAATCCTAGCGAGCACTTTTCCTTTTTCCCTCTTCCCTTTAGGTAACCCGTACCTTTAAACCCATGACATACTACGTCCGTTCTACCGCAAACAGGTAACGCCTAAATCTCCAATGGTCGAGCAGCAATACACCTAACTGCTAGAATGTGTGCGCTAGTATCGTCTACCTTTTCTCTCGCCTTTGTATGATCGAGAACACCCTGTTTACCCGTAGTTAGCCTGAACTATGTTTTGCTCTGATTTCTCGTGCCAGACGAGAATAGGTAGGCACAAGACGCGATGTCTTGGAGAGCAATCCCCCTCAGTAGTTTCCCGAACTACGTTGACTCTGACTTTCCTATTGCACGAGAGAATACATAGGCATAGGGCGGCGATGTCCTATCGAGTCAGTTCTTTCCGTTCTTTTCAGTTCTTTCCGTTTAGCATTAGCAGCCGTAGATAGTTTGTTTTCACCTGTAAACTAGACAACAAGCGTGGATCCTGTCGAGTACAACGGACGTGAGGGGTGCTAATACCTTCCCCCCTTGCGTAATCGACTCCCGAACTCGAGATTTGGTTGCGATGACCTGTCTTATTCCCTTTTCTTAGGTTTTCTCTGATCGTTTTCTTTTCCTCTCTTTGGGATAAATAACAAACGGTAGCGACTCTTCTGTCTTTGCTGGCCCCTCTTTGCAGCAATGTGACAAGGAGCTGCTATTTTATATCACTTGACAAAAGTGTTTTGGTTTGATGAGAACCTGTTGGATATACCTCATCAGTATGTGCAGGCCAAAGAGATTTATTAGGAACAAAGTGCAAATTTAATTGGTGTTCATAAAAAGGATCTTTGAGACTTTTTAGGAAACTATAATATACTTGTCTCTACTGTTATGAAGAAGATTCTGCAGGAGTGTTCAACAGGGTAAGTTTTGTTAGCTAGAGTCAAGTATGTTGGATGTCATGCTGGATTTTATGACATCAAGCGTATGACATCAGCGCGCATGTTTTAGTTTTCTGGTATTTTACCTGATATATCTCAGGCTAGAATTCAGGAAACCTGTTATGGCTCCTTATTTATCTCAAGCGAGATTCTAGTCAGGGCTGGGCATAACATGAAATGCCTATAACCTATTTTCTAGAACCTTGAATAGTAAAGATTGGTTTAACTCGGTTAAACCTAATTTCTGCTGCTATCTTCTCTTCCAACTGTTATTTTTGATCAGCCTAAGCCCAGTATGCATTACTATTTAAGGAGGCGCATAAGCAAGGGAAAAAAAGGCACTCACAACAAGAAAAACTTGAGTGTAAAATAAAGGTTTAGGGCTTTGAGAGTCTTTTGTGTGTGACCTTGTAAGTCACCCTTTGTATCTTTGGATGCATCGTGGTAGACATGTTTAGGCTGTTATTTGTACAGTGTTAATTGTTCATTCAAAGCTTTTAAGCAAGAGTTTATTGTTCTTGATTGAAACTGTTAAGCAAAATCAAGTGTTGTGACTTTGAAAAGTGTCTTCTAAAGTCTCCTTTTGTATTGAATTATTTATCACTGCTATGATTGTGGGGAGTGAGAGGTGTCTCTTGTCTAGTGGGTTCTAGGCAGAAATTGCATTGGGTAGAGATTAAGTGAGGGGTTGTAAACGGGGGAGTTAAGCTCTGAATTAATTCTGCTAATAGTGGATTTTCTTCCTGGCTTGGTAGCCCCCAGATGTAGGTGATGTTACACCGAAATGGGTTAACAATTCATTCTGTTATTTATCTTTCAGCATTTTTAATTCTGCATACTTTAAATGGTTAGATAAATAGTTGTGTCAGTCTGCAGATGTTACAACAGAGATCATGACATTGGTAGTTTTTAAAGGGATTTAAAATGGTCATGTTCTGTCCTTATTCTGTTTTAGCAGAGATCCATGTTCTTGGGACATCTGAGATCTGCATACCAGAATTTCACATATATATTGAGTTTGCTCATTCTACCTAAAATAACAAGAAAAGTGAAAATATACATTGATTTGGTTCTCATTATCTTCATCCTTTTTCTTGTATTTTCTCAACAACTATACATAATCATTTTTGTTGTGCATTCTGCATCATTGAGGTGATAACGTTCAAACATAGGATCAGTGTATCGGATTTGGGTTGAGAAATTAGTGGGTTTTTCTTGAATAAAACCTTTAGGATTTTGTCCTCCAAGAATCTTGGATTTTGGGGGTTTTGTACAAATTGTTCCTTCACAGGTTCAGCCGAGCGAAGGTAATTGAAGAACAGGAGGTTTTGCCAATTTAGTAGCGTTAACCGGAGGATTGTGGAAGGAAGGTTTGTGTTCGAATTGTTGGTGTTTGAAATCAGCCGGGCAAGATTTAAAGACCAGAGGATTATTCAAAGGTGGTGCTGTAATCGTAGGTTTACTCATCACATTCGAATGACTTGATTCATCTTGAATCAAGGGAAGAAAAGGCATAGGCTCAATATCAACGTTTGGGATTGAGTATTTGAATTCTATTACTTCTCTTGTACAAACAATTTGCAACCGGTTATATATACAGGTCTCAATTCTATTTTTAGAATTAAGGATAGACGTATCTTGTGCGAGGACGACGGGGGAACTTCCTCAACAAATTGGTGTTCTCTATTTTTACTATTTTCATTGCTGAATTTTGAATTTGTGTGCAAACATATTAGTTGAATAAAATTCTAGTGTGTGTTAGTGCTGAAACATTTTTAGAAACCTCATTACAATTTGTTTGATTGTAATCGGAAAGGCTTAGCACTTCATTCACTTATTGAATTTTGCTTGGGGTGCTGCGCACACCAAGTGTTCGACTAATTGTGTGAATACAAGCGTTTGGGCTGTTTTTTAATTTTATTTATATTTCACAAGCATTGGAAATTGTCCAACTTTAAGTGGACAAAATCTTATTGATTCCTGTTCAAACTATTGATTCAATTTCTCGTCTTTATCGGTATTCCATATAGGCGTAGCGTATACCCGATCTTTTTGGTAATGGTTCGTTTAGACGATTGTAGTCCCTCGACCGCTTCCGCTTAAAACTTTTAAAAACCAAATTATATTAAGTGCCGACTCTGTTTTAAATAAGTGATCTATTCAACCCCATTCTAGATCATTGTCGTCGTCTAATACCATAGACGTACCATTGCAAACTTATGCGAAAAATATGTTGTTTCATTAAGAATTGCAACCTTATGAAACAACACAGACATGAGCTATACATACATTACTCAAAATTCGAAAAGCATAACAAAAAATTGTGTACCCTCCTCACTTAATTTCAAACATTCTTATCTGTATTCGAATTTTCATTAGTCTTGTGCACAATCGATTAGAAGACTGAATTATCTTAGATGTTTTTGCGTTCCAACTCTAAAAGTATAAGAGAGTATTTAAAATTCACATAGACCAAGTGATAATTATATAAAAAAATATTTTTTGAAATTTACATCGACCAAGTGATAGTTATATAAAAACTGTTTTTTTACTAGTATAAAATATTTTGTCGCTAAAATCAAATATACAGAAACACATATAATAAACTACAAACAAAATTTAAATAATAGATTAGAGTAAGAAATTCAAATGACAGTAAATACAAAATCAATTACACAATATTGAGTAATTTAAATCAAATCCAATGCTTACCACAAGATCAGTTACTAATATATTTTTAGAAGAACAACACTAAAAACAGCTAGAAGAAAAAAAGATTGGATGGTTGCTAGAACTCCTACAAATATAAAAAAACCACAACTCATGAATATAAAAAAATGGAACAAATTAATTACGAAAACAAATTGACAGCAAAAAGGAAGAAGCAGTACCATTGATTACAACTGGTCAAAAATAACATTCCCGAAAACGACAGCGTAACGACGCCTTTAAATTCTCTGAACCAATCACAAGAACGTAAATTCTCTCGTTACGCACTTCGCCCCGTTCTCGTTTCTCTCTGCATTTTCCCTCGCTTTTCAATTTTCCGAGAAAATGAGAGAAATCCTCCACATCCAGGGCGGGCAGTGCGGTAACCAAATCGGTGCCAAATTCTGGGAGGTTATCTGCAACGAGCACGGCATTGATCATACCGGACAATACAGCGGCGATTCCGAACTTCAGCTTGAACGCATCAATGTCTATTACAATGAGTCTGGTAGCGGAAGGTACGTTCCACGCGCCGTCCTCATGGATCTTGAACCTGGCACCATGGATTCCCTTAGATCAGGACCGTTCGGTCAGATCTTCCGGCCTGATAACTTCGTTTTCGGACAGTCCGGTGCCGGTAATAACTGGGCGAAAGGTCATTACACAGAGGGAGCTGAACTTATCGATTCCGTTTTGGATGTTGTGAGGAAGGAGGCCGAGAATTGCGATTGCATGCAGGGTATCAAATTATCAATAATTCAATATCAATAATTCAATATCTATTTCAATTCAATTTTGGATTATGAAAATCGTAATGTGTGTGAACAGGATTTCAAGTGTGTCATTCATTGGGAGGTGGAACGGGTTCTGGAATGGGAACGCTTCTTATTTCCAAGATTAGGGAAGAGTATCCCGATCGAATGATGTTGACGTTCTCTGTTTTTCCTTCACCTAAGGTGTCTGATACAGTCGTGGAGCCTTACAATGCCACACTTTCTGTGCATCAGCTCGTTGAAAATGCCGACGAATGTATGGTCTTGGACAATGAGGCTCTCTATGATATATGTTTCCGTACATTGAAGCTCGCCACACCAACTTGTAAATTCTTATTCCTTTCGTACATTTGAAAATTGAATTTTACTGCAGATAGTGCATTTTATGATATCATTGTAATATTTTTTTGTCGTTTTTACTATTAGATGATTTGATTAGATAATGATTGACAAACCGGAGAGAACATGTTTTATTTGATATCTTTTTGCATATGGTGTATAATGTATTATCATTTTAGTTGCATGTTCCTTTTTAAATTTTTGCTATTTTTTATTGCAGTTGGTGACCTTAACCACCTCATTTCTGCTACCATGAGTGGAGTCACTTGTTGTCTGCGTTTCCCTGGGCAGCTGAACTCTGATCTTAGAAAGCTTGCTGTCAACCTTATCCCGTTCCCTCGTCTCCATTTCTTTATGGTCGGGTTTGCACCTCTGACATCAAGAGGATCCCAGCAGTACCGCAACTTGTCTGTGCCTGAATTGACTCAGCAGATGTGGGATGCTAAGAATATGATGTGCGCAGCAGATCCACGCCATGGTCGTTATTTGACTGCTTCAGCAATGTTCCGTGGTAAGATGAGCACTAAGGAGGTAGATGAGCAGATGATAAATGTACAGAACAAAAACTCTTCATACTTTGTGGAATGGATACCCAACAATGTCAAGTCTAGTGTGTGTGATATACCACCAAATGGTCTTAAGATGGCATCCACTTTCGTTGGAAATTCAACATCCATTCAAGAGATGTTCAGGAGAGTTAGCGAGCAGTTCACGGCTATGTTCAGGCGTAAGGCTTTCTTGCATTGGTACACTGGTGAGGGAATGGACGAAATGGAGTTCACCGAGGCTGAGAGTAACATGAATGATTTGGTGGCAGAGTACCAGCAATACCAGGATGCTACTATTGATGAGGAAGAGTTTGAGGAGGAGGAAGATGAACTTGGCGCTTAAGGCCTCTCTCTGAATTGTCAAAGTTATTTCAAACTGCAATTTCAAATGGCTTTGAACAAGTTTAATTTCTTGAGTATTCAAAATTCATTAATTTGTTCATCTGGTGTTGTATTAAATTGATCTCATTGTATAAGCTGGATCTTGTGATAATGGTTCTGATATTAAATCATTGGATGTTTTACTAGGTAACTTATTATACATACAAGTTCCCTATTCAAGTTTTTCCCTTTTGCCTTTTGCGTCGATATGTCAATTATGATTGGTTGGGGCTCGGAATTAAATACATATTCATACAATTGCCATTATTTTTCATTCAATTATAATATACTTTCTTTGATCTATTTAAAAGAGACACTTTATTTTTTACAATCATCCAACCATCAATGTATCTGATTTATTATTTAATTAAATATATTGAGTGTTGAATGAATATAAAAAGTAATGTTAAATATATATATATATATATATATATATATATATATATATATATATATATATATATATATATATATATATATATATATATATATATATATATATATATATATATAGTGGAGACGAGCATAATGAAATTAAATAAAAAAATTATCATTTTACTTATTTTGATATTTTAAATGGATTTACCAAATGTTCGACGGAATAGAAAGAAATCTACAATGAGAATTTTGAATTTTGCAAATATTTTATTTTTAAAAAAGCCTTTTTGTTTTTTTTATTCGTGTTGAACAAGACTATGAGAATTTTAAATTTTGCAAATATTTTATTTTAAAAAAAGTCTTTTTATTTTTTTGTTAGTGTTGAACAAGATAATTTGCCGCATAGTCAGATTTATTTATTTTATTTATAGTTGAAATGACAATACTCACGGAATTTTGAAGGGGACTTCTAGGGTGAAGTTGTTGAATTGACTTTTTTTGATGTAGTCAATGCTTCTGGTAAATCAAAATACACTACTATAAACTCTAGACGCTACATCAATATTTTATGTGAAAATTTTATTTATTGCATATCAGTTCTTTATAAAATTAATATTAAATTAAAAATATTTTTTATTTGACAAAATCAATTTTCAACTGAAATCCATAAATCGCAAACCCATATTTCGAAAGATCAAATGAAATTTTGAATACCTTCATCATTTTCTTCTCTTCTTATGATCATCCATTTTCCTTCAATGGTGCAGCCCAAGTTTCTATTTCTTTCCGTTCACCCTTCAATGTTATCAACTAAATATTATCCATCTTATTCGTTCACTTACCTCACCCAATTTTGTATCTGTTTCGTGTTTAATATATAACTTTAAGAGGTAAGTTCATCTACTCCATATTGGTTGTGCTAGTCATCCAAGGGTATAAAAAATTCATCTTCGTTGTGTTATTCCCTCACCCAGATTCATAGTGGAATGTCGTCGTTTTCTTTCATAGGCAATTATTCGTATCCATTTCAATCTTTATATTTTTTCAAAATCTAATTGATATGAGTTATTACACATAAATTATTGAATTAGGTATTAGGTTTGTATTTTTAGTTGAATTTTATTTGAATTCTTACCCAGAAACAATCCATTTGGTGGTTAAGATTTGTATTTCAAGTTGAAGTTGATATGACGATTTGGGGATTTGAGTTTGTATTTTAAGTTGAAGTTGATTAAATTCTTATGTAGGAATTATGAAATTGGGGATTAGGGTTTATATTTTATGAAAATAATAAATTCTGAAAATCATTTTGCATTGAATTGAATAAATAATGAAATAATCTTAATTTAATTGAATTTTTAGGGTTTAAATTGAATTGTTAGTTTTTCAATTGCATAAAGAGGAATTTATATTGTGATATTATTCAAATTTAAGTTGTGTGTCATTGTGAATTACTTTAATGATTTAGTCTTCAAATATCCTGCAGTTGAGTAATGGCTGCAAACAGTTTACTCATAATGTTTGAACTAAAAAACACACACTGAAGAAGAACTTACATGGGTAAATAAGACAAAGTTAATCCATGTAGCTTGTTCCACTTAAGGGAATATGGTTTGATTGTTGTTGTTGTTTTATTTTTTTAGATTAAATATTTTGATAACCAACCGTAGATTGGGAGGGAGAGCTTGTTTAGTAGACTATGTAAGATTTTAACTTTACTGATGTGTGTTTGCTAGATAGTGTTTTTCACCCTTTACTTATGAGTGGAATAGCATATTAGTTTTTTGTGTGTGAATTGGTGCAGTCTTACTATTTCGGTTTTGTACAAAATATTTGTTTTTAAATACCAGGGAGTTTGTGATATGAGACCTTTTACTTTGTTGAAATTATACAATTTAGTAATGATAGAAGTAGTATCATATGACTACTTTCAAAGCATTTCAGAACAATCCAATTGGTCCTAAAACATATCACTTTTGGGGACTTGTTGCCAACTGGGGATTCGCTCCAACTGTGAGTTTTAGTCGTATGATCATTTGCTTTTATTGTTAACAAACTTTTTAAGCTAATATGCCAAACTTTTTCTTTACATCAAAAGGGTTTTCCTGACATCAATAAACCTCCTGAAATGTTGAATTTCTTCTTTGCATATTGGTCTGTGGATTAATTATTTCATCACCTTTTTAAATTTTTGCAGCAATAACATCGCTCACAAGGTTTGCATGGATGGTACAACGAAACAACAATAACATCTCTCAAAGCATGTTCAAAATTATGCATAAATTCAAAAATGTACCATTTCTTCCTTATATAAGTCTTGATTATTGCATTGACAACTTCACATTGAGATATAGTTCTTATACGACAGAAAAAATTATCGTGTAGATATGCAGTTGAACAAAGTGACTTGTTCTCATATATTTTGACAACCCATGCATTTTGTTTAAGTTCATTCTCCTTAACTAACTCTGACCAAAATTCTTCAAATTGCTCAAGTGTAAAATTTGAGTACATTAACCTTTTAAAACCATTCAAAAACTATGACTTCTTTACATTTTCACCTGCATTCTTGTTTAAATGCCAAGCACACAACCAATGGGTTGCATCATGATTTTGTTTTGTTTTATAGACTCCCTCATAGCCTCATCTTCATCTGTTACCACTACTTTTTGATATTTACTTTCCATGCACTCTAAGAAACTCCTCAGTAGCTACTTATACATCTCTATCGTTTCATCCGACACCAATGCAACATTGAATATAATCGTCTGTGAGTGGTGGTTGCACCCAGAAAATATAACCAGCGGATAGTTATATTTGTTCTTCTTGTAAGTTGTTCCAAACACAATAACATCGCTAAAACATAAATAATCTGATCTACTAGTACCGTCTTCCCAAAATAGTGATTTTAATCTTCTATCACTATTAACACAATATTCTGCATACATCATAAGATCCACAGATGATTTCACATTGAAAAAATTTAAAGCAGCAACAACATCACCATCTTTAATAACAACACACATTTTTTTATCAGAATAATTGTACAAATATTTCTTTTTTAAAACCAACATCATTATATCCATCCTTTTGAGCAACCATGCACCCCATTATGTGACACGTTTTGATTCCATGTGACTTAAGACCATCAATTTGAGCTCTATCTGCTTCATATGTTTGACGATAATTGGAGTGTAAATGGGGTTTATTTATGGTTATGAGCCTCTTCAAAAATTGACATTACATATTTACCTTTTTTGCTTTGTAATGCACATAGAGCCTAGTTATGCATCTAGTACAGGTCAGACGTCGGTGATCTCTTTTCTAGCCTACCCTAAATAAGTGCTTATTGTATCTTAATCCATGTTTGTTGCATACATAATGTCTCATTACTACTATTTCACTACCTTGGGGCCTATTTTCCTAACATCGCTTTTCCTAATGACAAAACCTTTACATTTTCCATACATATAATAAAAGTCATAAGCTTGACTCACAGTTTCAAACTCCATAGCAAAAATTTCATATGAAGTAATGGAATTAATACTCTCCAATCTATCACCTACAACTGTTTGGCTATTTAAGCACTCTACTCCAACTGATTCCTCATCATCGTCATTATCAGAATCATTTTCATCATTTGAAGTTTGATTTCCACTAGATACAACATTATTAACATCTTCATCACAACTATATTCAACATCAAATGAATCAGTGTAATGGACATTGTTCAAATCAATCCAACAGAATCTCCAGAGTTCTCCATCTGATATCGGCCAATATATAACACAACATAAGTCAACATCAATCATAAAACCTAATTACTAAATTGAAATGAAATATTAACCAACATGTTAAGTATAAATAACAAATCCAAATAAAAAAAAATGACAACAATCATAAAACCTAATTTCCAAATTGAAATAAATTTTATCCAAAGTAATGAACAATTAACAAATTGAAAATCAGAGTCCTTAAATTTGAAATCCAATTACTGATTACAACATCAATCATAAAACCTAATTCCCAAACTGAAATAAATTTTATCCAAAGTAAAGAACAACTAATAAATTGAAAACTAGAGTCCTTAAATTTTAAATCCAATTACTGATTACAACATTAATCATAAAACCTAATTCCCAAATTAAAATAATATAAGAAATTGAAATCATTAAATATTAAACTGAAATACCTTAGTAAATCTTCTATCGATATGAACTGTGTGAAGAGTGATTGTATGGGAGAATATTGAAGTTCGCTTGTTGAATAGTGGTTGAAAGAAAACTCATTTTACAATTGCGAAAGAAGAAGAAGAAATATGTTTTATAATTGCAGCAGAAGAAGATGAATGTAGGTAGTTCTATAAGATGAATGTAGGTATTTCTAAATGTAGGGGTAAAGAAGATGAATTTGTTGTTTGTTGGAGAAAAAAGACGAAGTTGATGAAGTACCAGAAAGTTGTTTTATTTAATTTGGATTTTCAAAAAATAAAAATGTTAGGGACTTAATTGTAATTTTAATAAATACGAGGTTACATGTAAGTTTGCATACATGATATAATCCTATGTGGCAATTTAAGGGTTT